AAAGTGTAAGAGGATGCACCTAGTCATACCAACAGAAAGGAGGCATATCACATGTCCCAACGGGATGAAGAAACTGCATTTATAGAGACAATGTGAAAGGGACCTGGGTATGTATGTTGACAATGAACTGAAGTTTTTGGGCCATTAAGAGAAGATGAATCCAGCAGCTAAACTTGTAGGCCTTATAAGAAGGTTGCTCAGATATCTAGACGGTCCGTTTCTCGTAATGCTCTTCAAGAATGAGATGCTTCCCTATCTGGTCCCCGAGATATGCTACGGACTGTCAGTTGATTGAAAATGTCCAAAGGAGGGCCACCAGACTGGCACCTGCACTATGGCACCTCAGTTACCCAGAGATATTAGAGCTCCTGCAACTGCCTAGCTTATACTATAGACAGGCAAGTTTATAAACATCTCAGAGGGCACTATTGTTCTCATTCGAGTGTCCATACCTGGAGCTGGCATATGCCTGGCTCACAGGGGGTCATGGCTCAGGGATGAAGAAGCCACAAGTCTAGAAAATTGTGAGGGCAAACTTTTTCGGAGTGAGAATTGTGAACTATTGGAACAACCTACAAGAGAGTGTCTTGACCGCACTGAGTACACCAAGTCCAAGCATAAACAAACAATGAGCAAACGACAACCCACGCCGACATGGCAGATTTTTCAGCTGGTCATTTAAGATAAATAATTAATTTCTTTGCATACAAAGCATGTAGAGACACCATTTTAGTGTCATACGATTAGTTTTTCACTGTGTTCTAACCCGCAATATCCCTCATCCTTCATATTCTGCCCATTGCAGGTGATTTATGAATGTAGATAGAGAAGAAATAAAAAAAAATTACTATCACTCAAAGAACATCTGTGGAAAAAATTTACAAAATCGAACAACTGTTTCTGGTGTTAGCCATCTGCTCCATTATTGAAAAAACCCCCCCATTGTATTGGGTGTAACGAAAGTCCAGAATCATAGGTTTATTTTATTAAATGTTCAAATTGTAGTCCGTAGAGTGTCAAGCAGTTATAAATACCTGTACTCTGTTTTATACTTTCAGTGACAGCGCAATATATCCATACTGATTTTGTTACATTCCACTTGAATATGGTTTTTCAGTGCCTCAGTTGTTCGTGGACGATCGGTGTACACAAGTGATTTCAAATGGGTCCCATAAGAAAATGTCTAAAGGAATCAGGTCTGGTGAACTGGGGGGCCATTCCACTGGTCCAAGTCAACCGCTCTATTTACCGGGCATCTCAGAATCTAATTACCCTCTTGTTATCAAAGTGAAATGTGCAGGAGCCCCATCTTGCGGAAACCAGAAACGTTAACGCGTTTAAAGTGGCATATCGTCTAAATACGGCTGCAAAACTTCATTCAACACTGCAACACATTAGCATCGAAAAAGTATGGTCCGAGCAATTCCATATCATGGATGCCACACCGGAACTTTATCTTTGGATTATTTTGAACATGTCTTTTCTGTCCAGTGTGGGCTTTTATCTGCCCAGTATCGGCAGTTTTGGCTGTTTACCATTCCATAAAGGTGAAACATAACCTCATCACTAAACAAGATATCAGAATAAATGAAATGTTGCACCACTTCCTGTTGTGTTATCCACTCTGATTCCGGACATTTGATGCACCCTGTATAATGTACTGTACTGTACAGTATAGCATTTTCCTGGGAGAATTGATAAATTTCAAGTTATTTTCACTTTTTTACTTTATTTAAGAGAGTTAAAGTTCGCCGGGATATTACAGTACATTACATTGTTTACGTCTAACTCGGCCAGTCAGCGGAAGTGTCAGTGTTACGTAATATTCGTGCGCATGTGCTTACTTACTTTTATGTTGGAAATTTATATTTCATGGGGTTTTATTACTTTTTTATTTCAGGTTTGGTTTCTTCAGCTTCCTTTTTTATTCGTGTTGGTTTATGTTAGGTTAGGTCAGGTCCTTCTGGTTTCTTTGGTTAGGTTAAGTTACACATGTTTACTGATATTTGAGTCATTGGGTTTGGTTACGTCGGTTTTTTGTATTTTTACCCCCACAATTTCCCTCTACTTCAAAGCCCATGGAGTAGACTCACATTTTTAATAATTTTGTTTCTGATTACAGTACAGTATTTGTGAGGATTTTCCAATTATTATTTATTATGTGTGTGTGTGTGTCTCTACACACACACACACACACACATACCGTATATACTATACAGGTAAAGAAAATTACTGTCTCTAGAACGAATGGCTCCCTGTCCCGGCTGCGAAAATGCCGGCAACTTTAAAACTACCCGCAGACATTCTTGGGTACATCCAGGGTGTCATCCACGAATAAAAGAGGACCGCGGAAAATCCAGGCATACTGTATTATTTTTTCTATCAACCTATACAGTACAGTACAGAATAAGTTCCGTGCATAGTCACTGCAGAGTATTTACAGTAGGGTCGGGATATATCGCGAGATAGGGTCCAACGATGTTCACTACAGTATATACTAAATCGCGATATATAATTACATGTAATCAATGGGGAAAATAGGGTTAGGTTCTGGAGGCCAAAAAAGTGACTAAACTTGACTTAACGAGTTCATTTTCTTACTAACTTAAATACCAATGATCACTAGACTTGGGAACAACAGGCTATTTCAATATCAATATCAAGGAACAGACTCAGGAACACCAGACTCGGCAGCTGACGCACCATCCTGGGAACACTAGACTCGACAGCAGACGCCACACTGCCACCCTCACTTGACAGTCCCACACCTACATAAACAAACACCAAAAATATTAGTAACAGTATTAAATCTTTTCCATTAAGCTTCCCATTATCTTCACTTCACTTTTCACATCACTAGCAACCCATTTACACTCTCTTTAGAAATTGAAATCTGCACCAGATTCGGCAGCTGACTCGCCATCCCGAGAACAACAGACGACACACTGGTAGTAGGTAGTAGGCAGCTATCAAACAGGGAGGTGCTACTGCCTGGGAAGATATTGGAAGCATAATGTATTGTCTTATGGTAGACCCTGCTGCCATATGGCATCACGAAAATTGTGACCAAGTCCCAGGTTGCTGATCTGACTTTCTGCCTCATTTACACTTAATTGCAGTCTCAATTGTTTCTCTTACTTTGACAACACATCATACATACCTGTATATTGTTTCTCACTATTTTTTTATTTTTGTTTTAATTTTTGTATTTCTTTTTAGTTCTTTATTATTATTATTATTATTATTATTACAGTGTTATTATTGTTATCATTATTATTTTATTTTTATGAGAAAATTTATTTTCTATGAATTATTATTATTTTATTTTTAATTTTGTATTTTTATTAAAAAAAATTATTTACGATGAATTATTATTATTCCTGTATTATTATTATTATTACTTTATTATTATTATTATTATTATTATTATTATTATTATTATTATTACTAATACTACTACTACTACTACATTTTTGCCCCCCAGGCCCCGATGTGGGTCAGTGACCTGTGCTCGGGTGGGCTAATCTCTGTAAAAAAAAAAAAAAACACTGCCACCCTCACTTAACAATCATAAACGAACAAACCAAAAATATTAGTTACAGTATTAAATCATTTCAAATAAGCTTTCCATACTCCTCACTTCACTTTTCGCGTCACTAGCAACCCATTTACACTTGAATGAGTGACTGAGCAGCCACTGTGGCGCCTCTGGTGAGTAAATAACGCATCTGTTTGCCATGGCGGTACATTTCAAATATTTCCTGCCTGATTTCCCTCACGAAATAAAAAATTCACGCTATACTGTATGTAGGAAAATTTTGATAATTTTGGTTGCCACGCTATAAAAAAATCGGTATATAAAGTCGCGATACATCCCAACCCTGCTGTACCACAGTTTTTTCTGTTTTGAGTCTGCCGAGATGTTACCAATGGCTGAGGCATGTTGGAATGTAGTAGTACAGTATATACCTAATACTTTGGGAATGTAGACAGTTTCTTTTCAGAATTTTTATTTTTTAGTTATTTTTTTTAAAGGTTAAAGTTAGTACTGTACTGTACTGTATAGTATTTTATGTTAGGTTGGTTCTGGTAGTTTAATTTAGCTCATTCTATGAATAAAAAATTATAGATTGTAGCAGTATACAGTATCTGTCACTTCTGGAATTTACTACCAACGTAAGATACTACTACATTCTAGAATTTATCATTCATAAAATGAACCACACTAAAGGTATCCCCCAATATACAAAGGGTTGCGTTCTTGGAAACCCATTTGTTAAGTGTATTTAATGGTAGAACCCAACTATATTAATGGGAGTTACATTCTGGGTAGAGAAATTGTTGGTCACCTGGGGGTTTTGACGCAAAATTCACCATTAAAATTTATGAACAATGTAGCTACAGGTACAGTAAAGCCAAAATTCATCTCTGCATCCTGGGTGGACAGAAATGTGATTTTTATTTGTTAGAGCAATTGTGTAAGAAAGTGTTAAAATATAATTTATATTCGTTAAAGTGAATGCTTGTGTATAAAGAAAAAAGTTACAGCATCAAAATGTGACTTTTGTTAAAATGAATTTTCGTTTGTTGGGCATACATATGCTGTACAGTACAGTACTGTATCAAGAGATGCCTGTAACCTACTTAACTTAGGCATCGGGCAGGAGGGAGTGGGCACGTGTTGCTACCAGCTTGCTCCCGCTACCAGTGCGGCCACGTCTATGGGTTACAATGCTGCAAAGTCTTCCGCGCCCACCCGCTCTCAGTGCGGCTGCGGCCTTAACCTAACTTATCCTAAAATACATGTATATTTTGCAGACACTAAAGAGTGACTTATAACATGGGATCATGGACTCCATAACCTTGATGTTAAGAAAAGAATACAAATCAATGACTATATATTACTTACTGTATAGTATTAAGTACAATATGCCTGTATACTGTACTGTACCTAAGGAGTGCAGTGGTCGAGTGGATACAGTATTCGCCTCCTGTTCCAGAGATTGGTGATTCGATTCCTGGGCACTCCCAGTCCACCCAGCTGTAAATGGGTAACCAAGTTTACAACTTGGGGAAATGAATGTGGTCAACTGTAGTACCGGCCATGCTGCCTCCTTGTGTACTGAAGGCTTAATATACAGAGTGCTGTATCCTCACTGTCCCTAATGGGCAGTCATGCCTATGGGACCCACTTTCACTTTTCATTGTACCTACCCTAATGTAAGTTAGCTTTTATGATATTCTTAAACTTTTGATTATCGAGGTTTTATACTGTAGTTTGCTATACAGTATTTGGGGAGAATATGTACAGTGTCTGATTGGCCCTATTTTACTGCATCTAAACCCTATACATATACAGGTACTCCTCGACTTACGACCACCCGGACATATGACCGCCGCAGTCGTGTAAAATATTTTTCAAATTACGCATTTTCGAGTCCCGACGTTAGTGATCGCGCTGTGTACTGTACTGACAACATTTTCGTTTGTAATTCCCTTTAAAATGGCTGGCAAGCATAAAAGTGAGAGTTCTCGTGGTGCTGAGAAGAAAAATAGACACCCATTTTAGATTTTCTATGTATTATTTTCGCATTTTCGACTTAAGACCTGGTCGTCAGTCCCTAACCCTGTCGTAAGTCGAGGACTGACTGTATTGGTTTTCAGTGAATACCCGGACATGCAGATAAAGATTAGGGAGAGAGGATGTGGATATACAACTGTACTGCATCAATTTTTCTTGTGCCGAATTTGATTTTATTTATTTATTTATTTATTTATTTATTTACAGTGGTCCCTCGGTTAACGAGCACAGTCCGTTCTAGAAGGTTGCTCGTTAACCGAAACCATTGTTTCAATGGGTTTTTGGGTAATTGGTTCCAGCTCACCGAAAATTGCCTAAATTCAACAAAAAAGGTAGAAAAGTACACTTACTTTGAGGTGTGTATGTAGAGGCTCCTGGATGCTGATGATGATGATGATGGGAATTAGAATGGGGGTGGAGGAGAAGGAAGAAGAGAAGGCATTGGGGTGGAAGAGAAGTCACCCCATGGCACCATTTCACCCATAAAATTTTAGTTCTCTTGGTGTATTTCAAGATTATTTTCTTTAAATCAACACTGCATTGCATTATATATTGTCAATATGTAAAATATATTTCAAAATGACCAATAATTTGCTTGGAGACACAGAAAAAAAGCGTTTAGTTGAAGAGAGTCTCAAGCAAGATGTTACCTCCACTGAAATCAGAGAAAGACTAACGCCTGTCTGGTGTGTTAACAGGCTGGATGGCACGCCAGAAACTAGTTTCTTTACCTTCAATTATGTTCAATAATTGTTAAAATGACTAAAAAATATTAATACTGTATTAAACTTTTAAAATTATTGAATAGTATAAATTTCTTGATATTTACTAAAATAGTAAGGAATTTAAGCCCTAGAACCGATTACTGTATTGGCGGACTAATACTACAGCTGGTGGACCGCCAAATGCAAGCGAAATCATGTTCAGGTTGGCTCGCAAGAAATTCGTTAATCGAGGGATTGCTCGTTAACCGAAGTTAAGAATCTTATGGAAGGCAACTCGTTAACCGAAATCTCGTTAACCGAGGGACCACTGTATTTATTTATTTTATTTTATTTTATTTTATTTTTCAATGTGATAAGTTTGCACTGTGGTAGCCTTCAATGTTAGTGGTTAATGTTAGATTCCCTCTTTTTTCTTGCTTATTATTATGTAAGTCCATTTAGTTAAACCATGTTATAAATTCTAACTGTATTTATATTAAATATTTCCAGATCACAATCGTCCTGAACTGTATGAAGAAGTAAAGCTGTACACTAATGCCCGGGAAAGAGAGAAGTGAGTATTTTTTTTTTTTTTTCCAGCCACCGATAAATTTTTAGTGTTTCGTGTGTTGACTGGTTGTACTACCTGTATAACTGTTGTTTGGTGGGAGGATGCCATGGTCTAGGGTTGCCAGATTTTCAGTTTCAGAATTTAGGACATGCCATTTTTTTTTTTTTTTTTTTTTTTTTTTTTTATAGATAAAAATTAATGTTGAATTGTATTTGGAAAATTAATAACAGGTGATATTTTAACAAAATTGAAAAGTTATACAGCACAATACTTGGGCCTGTGTAAATAAAATTATCTTCCATGTCTTTTTTATTGAAAACTTAATTAAAGCATCAAACAGCTCCAACTATGGGGGTAATCCTAACTGTAAAGATCAGGCATCCACAAATTTTACATCACTCAATCTAAATACAGTAGTTTCTCAGGTTGGCTGTGGACCACAGTATTCACACATCTTTGTGCTTTGGGTCATGGTCAGTATGATGCTTCTTACAATAATGAACTTTATAAAGTACAAAGTTCACCAACTCCTGCCATAACCTTCCAGAAATACAGTACTATACAGTACAGTATAAGATACAGTATCACGTGTTTTATGAAGCAAGTTAAGAATTACTGTATGAGTAAAAAACAACACAATAACGGTTGTTGGTTTTTTAAATTATATTTGTATGAGGTCTTTGACTTATAAACAGGGGTGGTTACAGTAGTACGTAAGTCTGAATGATTTAATGGGTCTCTCAAATACTGTACAGGACAATTATGCATCCCAACTGACCTTTCTGGGACAACAGGACATGATAGTGAAATGAGGGACAATCCCATAAACTGACTGTACTGTACAGCACAAAACACAAGATGGCTGGCAACCTTACTGTGGTCATAATACAGTATACGTATACAGTATACTGAATGGTTAATTAATTATCAGTAGCAATTTCATAATGCATGTACTGTACAGTACTGTATAGTACATTTAAGCCTCAATATTCCTGTAATCTATACACTTCTGTACAGTGTTCTGGAATCCTGCAAACAACTGCACAGTTTAATACAATACTTGTACATACTATAATGTTTCCCTAAATTCTAATATACCTGTATTGTACAGAACTGTATTCCTTTAAAAAAAACTAGCACTTAATAAATATAATACTAGCTAGTATTTTTATAATAATTATTACCTGTACAGTATTATTAATACCTGTAATATAAAATTAATATATTTATTAATATTAATAATATCTGGTATTATTATTATTATAGTACCTGTATTATAATTATTATTATTATTGAAGAATTGTGTCTGATACGATGGAAATTGTCACAAAGAAAATATTCATACAGTACAGTAGTACTTCATTTTGGTGGCTACCCCGGTACCTGTACTGTATCATAAAAGATGGAGAACATGTTAATGTTCTTTATACTGTATTGTATCTTGTTTTATCCAGGTATGATAATCTTGCTGAACTCTATGCTGTCATGAATACACTACAGTCTTTGGAGAAGATGTACATTAAGGTCAGTGACTAGTATCTGTGTTATTATTGATGCTGTGCCAAAGGAGGATTTTAAGAGATATTGATTATAAAGAAAAGATTAGTTATTCTATACAGTATCAGTTAACTGAAGGAACAGCTTATACTGTATAAGGATGATTGATATAGATGTTATATACAGAAGGTATATGTCTTTATTCGGGAATTTTAATACAGGTATCCTTTTACATTACCCTTGTGTGTTGCATAAAAACTCAAATGCTCTACATTACCAAATGATTTTTCCCAGGATGTGGTTCCACCCAAGGAGTATACAGCTTGGTGCAGTAAATTGCTTGTGCAGTATAAAGCCGCCTTTAAACTGGTGCAATGTGATGAATATTCCACAGTTGAAGCCTTTGTGAAAAAATATAAGGTAGGTCATGTGCCTGTCGCTGTGCATTGTTTCCTCTGTTTTTCATTCAATAAAGGAATACACTACTGTAGTATATGTTAGGAAGAGTTGACTTTCTCTGTAATCCTTGGTTAATATACAGTACAGTAGTGTAGACAGCAATACTGTTCTTAGCCTGTGAATTTATTTCTACATTTGTATTACAGAATGTCAATGAACTACAGTAATATATGTAGAGGATGATCAGATGGTTTGTGAAGCTTTATAGAAAGAAATGGGAGTTAAATTTGGTTGTATGTTTAATACTTGTGAAATTTTTCAGCTTGATTGTACAGCAGCTCTAGACCGCATCCGTGAAGATCGCCCAATCACCATCAAGGATGATAAAGGCAATACCAGCAAGTGTATTGCTGACATTGTATCTGTGAGTAAAGAATTCATTTATATGCATTATACAGTACAGCATGCCCTGACAATTTGTGGATTTTTAATTATTTGCAGATGACACCCTGGATGTACCCAAGAATGTCTTAAGGGTAGTTTTAAAGTTGCTGGCATTTTTCGTGGCCGGGACAGGGAACCATTCGTTCTAGAGACAGTAATTTCTTTTACCTGTGTTGTATATGTGTGTGTGTGTGTATATAGACACACATATACAGTACAGGTAGAAGAAATAATTGTCCTAAAAACAAACACATAAAGGGAATATACATTTCTTTGCACACAAATAAAAATGTACCGCCCTCCCCTCCCGTCCCTGGTAAGCATATGTTATTTGCAGATTTGGCTATTCATGGCCATTTTAACCCTAGAACACAAACCCCGGCAGTTTTCCACCCGACGCTCCGGGGTGTCACGTGATACCCGCAAGGAGCGTGGGGCTAGGACCGTGTGGTGCCCAATACCCAAAGTCCTCTTTGTGGTGTGATCGAGGGTGGGTGTGCTGTCCTGCTCTCTGCCTGGGTTTTTTTCGTAGAGTCGAAAACGGGAGTTTTCCACCCTACGTTTGCAATACATAGTGACTTTCGGAGCGGGTGGAAAACTCCCGACGTTTGTTTTGGTGTACTATTTGTGAATTATTATTTACGTCGTTCTCCTTTGCAGGTCGTGTTTATTGCTATTTCAGGGGCACTAAAGTGAACTCTAATTGCAACATGGCTAAGAAACCAATGAAATACTGTACTACACTGACCAAGAATTAGATTATCTGATGAACACAACAGGTGCCTTGTCAGTGCCTAGCAGTGAGGACAGTGACACTGAGTGATGATGAGGGTGAGGTTGATAATTTAGAATGTGATGAGTTATATGATAGTGACATTGATGCTGATTATGTGCCTGACCCGGACGATGAAAGTGATGATGACAATGGTAAGCCTAGGTGGAAAAAACCCAGGTACACATCTACCCCTAGGAAACCCCCAGCTGCCTCAACCTCTGCTGGCCCAGCTCCCTCAACATCTGCTGCCCCTGACGCCTCTCTTGCTGCTGCCCCAGTGGCCTCAACATCTGCTGCCCTTGCTGCTGCACCTGCTGCTGCCCCTGCTGCCTCTCCTGCTACTGCCCCTGCTGCTGCACCTGCTGCCTCTCCTGCTACTGCACCTACTGCTGCCCTTGCTGCCGCCCCTGCTGCCGCCCCTGCTGCTGCCACTGCTGCTGCCCCTGCTACCCGTGCTCGCCGCAGGGGAATGAGGCGTTTCCTTGATGCAGGACCTCCAAGTAAAACTCTTTATTGACTGTCTGATCACGAGGAACAAACTCATGATGAACGACGCCCTTCCAATCAAAAAAGACAACCAACATCACCTCCACATTTGAGCGACTCTGACGTCCAAATTTGGGATCGTCTTCGGTGGATGTTCTTCCCCTTTTGAAACGCTGGTACCACACGTGACATTGCGTACGGCTGAACCAATCCTCCCCATAAGCCTGTTCAACATTTGAAAAATCTCTTTAAAAGTTTTTTCCATTTCGAAACATAATTTCACGCAAACACGTTGCACTTCAAGATCCTTCATTGTTCAACTTGCAACAAATTGTCAAGTGCACTAAACACACGTTCATTCTACAGCATTTAGCTCAATGACTAATTGATGTGGCGCGATGCGGCTCGTGTTAGACTAAATGTCAAGGTCACCGCTACACAGCGCTCCTGTCGTGAGCACGCTGCGCCGGCTCGTTGGCACGCTATTTAAAAAGTTCAATTTCTTTTTGGACAGACCACGTATCTACCCAAAAATATGAGTTGAAAAATAACAATAACACAACTTGGCCTGGTAGGAGGAGAGTTAAGGGGATGTACCTATAGGGACAGTCTAACTTGGCGACCTGCCAAATCCACACATGTGACCTTCACACACATACACACCCATGCTGTTCATTTTTCTATTTTATAGTAATATGCCAGCTCCACGGAGATATCCTATAAAATTTATATAACAGTACCTGTACTATTTAATTTATATTAAGCTATTTTATATGTACAGTTGTCCCTCGGTTAACGAACGCAATTTGTTCCAGAAGGTCGTTCGTTAACCAAAAATTTTGTTAACCGAAACCATTGTTTCAATGGGATTTTGGGTAATTGATTCCAGCTCACCGAAAATTACATACAAAGTAAAAAAAATGCAGTAAAGTACACTTACTTTGAGGTGAGTATGTAGAAGACTTCTGGTTGATGATGATGATGGGAATTAGAAGTGGGGGTGGAGGAGAAAGGAGAAGAGAAGGCAGTGGGGGTGGAAGAGAAATCACCCCATGCTTCATGCCTTTATTTCACCCATAAAATTTTAAGTTCACTAGGTGTAATTCAAGATTATTTTCTTTAAATCAACACTGCACTGCACTATATATTGTCAATATGTTAAATAAATTTCAGAATGACCAATAATTGTACAAGGGTACTGTAAAAACGTAAAAATAGTTTATGTTCAAGAGAGCCACAAGCAAGATGTTACCTCCACTGACCAGAGATAAAAACTGACGCCTTTGTGGACGAGTCAAGTGGCTGATTGGCACACCAAAAACTAGTTTTCTGTACTGCAATTATGTTAAATAAGTGTTAAAATTACGAAAAAAAATTATATAAAACTTGGAAAATTATTGAATAGTACAACCTTCTTGATATGTACTCAAATGGAAACGAATTTAAGCCCTAGAACCGATTACTGTATTGGCGGACTAATATTCCAGCTGGTGAGCAAGCAAAAACATGTTGACATGATTTCGTTAACCGAATTGAAAATTCTTATGGAAGGTAATTCTTTAACTGAGGGATTACTGAATTTGACTCAGATTTAGCTAAATGTACAATACAGGTATTGTTTAGTGAAGGAACAGGCAACTTAGTTAGGATATGATGAGTGTTATCTGCGGCGATGGAACCTAATCCCCTATTTCCCATAAGCCAGCCACAGATTTGCCAATCTCTGAGTTTTTCAGGAACATAACCCTGTGATTTGCAAGGGACTGTTGTATTCCAAGCTACCCAGTCCTACACAAGCACATTTTCACATTTACAGGTGCAGTTACAGGCACGAATTAGTTTTATTTAGCTCTTTTAACAAGCATATAGCCATGTCCAGTAATAAATGTTTCAGTAAAGTTAAAATTTACTTCTTTTCCTGACAGTTATTCATCACAGTAATGGACAAACTCCGGCTGGGTATCAATGCTAATGATGAACTGCAACCAGACTTGAAGGATCTTCTGGAAAATATGACACGACTTTCTCTAATAGCACAGGTGAGTCACTAGATTAACTGTAAACATTAGCAAAAACTCTGTCAGAGGAAAGAAAGTACTAGTTTATTTTGGTCTGTATATAACATCCCTAATCAATCTTCCAGAGAAATAGAGGGACTAATATTAATTAAGAAGCTATACCTTTGTTAGCCTTTCTAGCTGTCATTAAAACAGGTTTCTAGTTTCTTCACATTCTGCAAGGCACAGGTACAATAATTACATTTCAGTTTACTTTTATTTTAAATTTCATAAATGTGCTGTATCAAATTTACATTCCTTGATGAATGTGATGAATTTTTCATTCATCGTTCTTAAGTGCATCAACATTGTCTTTACCTGTCTTATGTATCCACAGGATTTTGAAGGTCGAACTAAGGTCAAGGAATGGATTGGGACTCTTGAGGGTATGACTGCAGATGAGACATTATCAGAAACTCAAGTGCGGCAAATGATCTTTGATTTGGAATCTGCTTATAATGCATTTAACCGTCTCCTACAGCACACCTAAGTTTGCGTTGTCGTATAGGAAAAGCTATTTGGGTTTTATTGTTTTCACAACTTGTAAAATTCATAGTCATTGTTCATTCATTATTGTCATTTGATATACTGTACATGTACTACAGTATTTATGTATTATGCAGGTAATCACTGGGAAACAAACACAAAAAGATATGGGAATTTTTTAAAGGATATTCTCCTCTTCAGTGAGTACAGTATAATTATTGTGCTTGTTTCAGGATGGTTACCTGTATATTATATGAATAACATGTTCCTTGTGATTTTTTGTACTGCATTACTCTGAATCGGGATAATTGTCCAATTAAGCATTAAAGTGCAATTTTTTATGCTAGATAGGGGACAACTTTTTGTTTTTGTTGCTATAACTGAATGGACATTGTTTCATACTTGGTTCTATATATGTTTAAATTTTCTGTTTTATTAACCTGACATAATTTCTTAACATAACCAACTACACCTAATTTTGGTAAAGGATCATTTTGTAGTTTGTACAGTACAGTACAGTATTAGAATTTTCTATGTGATCATCCCTATACAGCTCCTCCCCAACTTACGACCACCTGCACTTACGACCCGCTTCAGTCGTACCAAAATTTTGTCAAATTACGTATTTTCGAGTCCCAACGTCAGTACACAGAGAAAATTTTTGTTTGTAATTCACTTTAAAATGGCTGGCAAGCTTAAAAGTGAGAGTTTTGTGGTGCTGAGAAAAAGAGACACCCATTTTAGACTTTCTATGTATTATTTAAGCATTTTCAACTTAGGACCAATTCGATTTACGACCTGGATTTGGGTCCCTAACCCCGTCATAAGTCGGGGAGGAACAGTATACAGTACAGTATACTGATTTGAATTTTATGTACATAATTATATATACTTTATAAATATTAAAGAAGTTATCACTGGCAATTATCCCTATTTTGCATGATGTGTTATGTTGAAATATGTAACACCTGTATGTGTGGATGTGTCCATTTTAATAAGGGCCTTTATCATACTGGTAGGTAGGGAAGATGTTAATTATTTGATTTCACTATGAATGAGTACAGTAAGCACTCCATATTAGTGAAGTTATGTTCCTGGAGCACCTAGTGAATGTGGATACCTTGGTTAAGTGAGAAAAATAGGTGAGGTTCCCAGGTCAGGCTGGAGAGCACATATACACTCTTTGCAGCTGTTATAGCACAGCTGACTGGTGAGCCAAGTGGCTCAGTAGGTATTGTACTACCACACGGATGCCCCGTATTGTGATAAGACTAAACATTAATATATTTTTACCAGATAATTAACAAAATAGCATGTTGAAAACCTAGAAACATCAAGTAATAAACACTAGGCACCTGAAAGACCTTGGACTTGTCAGGCCACAGGTGGAATGTTTAAAGATAGGAATGACAAAAATTATCACATAATTTTTGGCATATACTGCTGCTATAACTCCCTGACCATTCACAAAGGTTACATTCCTGGAAAAACTGAACATAGGGGGTAATTGTTTAAGAAAATGATAAAAATAAATATTGTACAGTGTCTAGTTTACAGTATTTACCTTTTATGATGTAATGACAATGTTGGTGTTGCTGGAAGGGAAGTCTGACACCTTCCCTGATAGGTATTTCTTTATGTATTGGATGGTGTGCTTATACACACCAAAATGCCTCCTCAGTACAGATGCAATAAGTTTTTCACTCAAATTTGTCACTTTCTTCTTCCTCTTTGCAGCAGACTTGACTTTGCTGCTTATCTTTCAACACATAGAGGCTGTGATTAAGAGCAAGTATTTAGCAGAAAAATGGCACAAGGAACAGACAGAGCAGGTGCACAGGGTGGCATTTCCAAATTGCTTAGACAAATAAAATGCTGTTCTGTATTGTACTCGGAACTTACAAATACTTGCAGATACGGAAGCTTGACTGTACAGGGTACTGTACTGTATATAATAACATATTCACAAATTGATTGAATAGTTTTAGAATCAATCAGTCCTTATGTCATTTCCAACTTAGAGACAGAGTGGTTCAGTTAAATCTCACTAATATATATTTTTTTATATCAGAACACTGTATTTACTGTATTTTAGTTTTCAAGGTGTATTTGGAACTCTGTGTTAGCTTTGCTGTTACAGTTGCAGTTAAACTGACAAATTTCTTTTACTTTCCATAATTTGAATGAGTGATGTCTATAAGAATACTAATGCCTTTGTCAGGTGGTAAGGGAAACAGATGAAGGAAAGAAAATTAAAGTAATTGATGATAAAGACACATGTATACTGTACTGTAATAATACAGAACAGTTTAGAACTTATGTATGGCTGGAAAACTGTTCACAGTATTTGCAGCTAGCCATTGACTGAAGTTCAGTTATAAAGAAGATCACTCTGGGATAAAAGGTTACAAACACAATGTAAATTCTTAGAAGATTTTATATCAGTTTGAAATGCAGCATGTTTGTCTGACTATTATTACCAACAGTTTCAAAGTTACATAATAAGTACAGATGCTTATAAATACATGCACTGTAGTTCCTATGATAACAATGCCTCTCACCATAGTGAAATGCATTTTGATACAATGTTTTTGTCAAGTATTTGCTATTGTCAGATGAGGGTAATTTATATTCCATCTTATGTTTAAACAATCCATGAATACAAACATTAAATTCATGAAATATTTGTATTTTTGTTTACTCCTGAGAGTGAAAATGTAAGTACTGTAGTACTGTATACAGTACATACACATTTATACTGTACTGTATTTTACTTATTTTCATTTGCAAAGTTACACAGTTAAATGGTTTAATAAAAGTGCAGTAGATTCTCCAATGAAGTGATGATGTACAGTACAGTGCTATATATTGTTCATTTTTAAATGTAGAATTGTACAGGTGCTTCAAGAATAAAAGCAGTTAAGATCAGCAACTTAAAAAGAATACAGGACTATACTGTAATAATAATTATAATATTTATTCAGTAAATTCGTACTGTATACGTTTACAGTTGGTTTGGCATGTATACAGTATTTACAATGTTGGTGTACAGTTCATCATATGTAAACTCGGTAAAAAAACTACCGTTACAATTCCTGCGCGAAACAAACTGACACTACAGACTAAGTGTTTCAAAAGGCCCCTGAGGCATTCCTCACATTGGTAGCCCTGCGCGTGTATGGGTTCGGCCACACGTGCTCGAAACAAGTGGTTGGCTCTCCGAAACGAAACCCAGTACTGCACTAGACATTCCGGAATTATCTACTGTATGGTAAAACGTTGTTGTGCAGGGTTCCATTATGACGGCATGTGAGACTGTGGAGTTATTCAGATGTTTCGGAACAGCTTGGTGTATTTTCCAATACGAATAAAGAGTGACATAGTGTGGCATTAGCCCAAAGTGAAGTGAAGTAGCAATACAGATTAGAAATTCAGTTGCAAAATGATCTTATACCTTTACTATATCCACTACAGGTAATTCTGCCAAACATAATGCATCCTATGTGGCAACTCATCCACTTCCATGGTTACAGTACTGTAGTCCACAGTGTGTGGAACATATAATATAACATACAGTTTAACTTCTCTAGATATATGTACTGACATTCTCCAGTCATATTGTAACACAAAACCGGTAATTCAATACTATCAATGCAATAGCTAATTTCGGCCTACCAAAATAAGTACGAAATGTCTCTCGTTCAGGCCTACCAACTCTTGTGAGACAACGGGAATGTTCACTTGGAAAATCATTGGACCCAATTGTACGGTAGTTTTTTTTTAGAGTGTACATGTAGACAATACTATTACTGTATACAGTGTCTCTAGACTGTGGTGGTATACTGTTTCTGATGCGCAGTACCTAGACAGTGCAGGTATACAAAATAGTAAACAGTAAGGCAATTGGATTAAGGATAGTCGACAAAGCCAACTAAGAAAATTTTTAGTGTAAACTGTAAATACTGCAATTATGAAATAGTACTGAAATGAATAATAAGTTTGGAAGACATGGGTAGATGAAATCATGTACTGTATAGCAATGCTTTGGGCAAATTGCTGGTCAGTGAAAATGATTTGTAGTAGTAGAGTGGAAGGAAAGAGAAGAGGGAGAGTACACAATTGGGAGGTGATAAAGAAACTTAAAGGACGGGAAAAAAATATGGAAGCGTGAATTGACACTTAGGCACTAATGTATCAGTCAAATGGATGAAGTGAATTAGATATAAATCTTTCAGGAAATAATTACATTATTTTCTATATTTACCAACTGGCCATCCACTCGAGGTTGCCATGCCGAGGGAAGGAAGCCAGTGCCTGTGTAGAATCCCTCCAATGTTTTTGATGATTTTGTCAAGGGGTATTTTGAAGTTCAGTATTGTCTGTGATTCCACAGCTTGGGCTGGTAGACCATTCCATAGGTCTACCAGAGTCTGTGTGAAGAAGTATATAGAGGATATAAATCCTTGACTGAGAGATGCCTCTCCAGGTATTCAAGCCATTCATGCTGAAGATGGTTCTTCTTGGTGCACTTCTGGCATGAGTCAATCACTGTTGTCCTCAAGTTTAAACTTAATTATACAAAGAGAAAAGAAAAGAGTTTGTTACCTTGATGTCCACACTGCCTCGTACTTATCTGCAAAGTGCTTTTCCATACTAAGTCTAAACCTTTTGTAACTTGTGTCATCCTTTGACTCATAAATTAGAGAAACATAATGAGCAATGATTTTTAGTCCGTCCCGTACTATCAGCTTTCTGACCTTTCAGGCAGTTGGTCATTTCTTTGTTATGTACTTCATTGTCCAGCATTAGTACAGGAGACAACTGGAGTACAGTACTTTGAGAAAACCTACCATGGTTAGTAGGGTCACACTGGATAACACTTTTCCTAAGTCTGTCCAGGCCCAGGACACAATAGGGAGAGATACTGCTGTACCAATGCAAAATCCGCAGACTTGTGTAGGCCCTCTAGTTTATGGGGAACTAATTAGTTCCCAGATCTTAATTATTAACAGGCTTAGTTTGGTCCAACCCCTTGGTTGAACCATTTACTTGCAAATTCACCCTTAACCACAACCTGACATCCCGGATTCACCATTGTTGGTGTGAAACATTACTTTACTCATTATAGTATGAATCAACTTGCTGAGTTGAGTGACATTTATGTACAACCAAAGACAAAAGTTGTGTCGCGGTTTTTTCCGAAGATTAAGTATAACTCGTGAAACATTATGAGAGCCCAACCACAGTTACAGAGCGCTCCAAACATTTTGCCCTTCGGCATATGTCTTCAACAAATTTCACGACACGACTTTTGTCTTTCATTGTACATATTTATTCACATCTACAGTATATAAATTGTATGGTAATGAATTAGAATTAATATAAGTAAATAAAATTTTAAATGGTACTTTAAGTTGTATTAACATTATTAATAAAACAAAACAGTGGAGTTTAATTCCACCAATACTATTTGTATTACAATATTTATTGCTATTAAGGAAGGAAATTGCAGCAGTCAATGGCAATCATACATGAAAAGGGATAATTAATGTAAAATTTAAAAATAAAACAATGAATTTTTACAGATTAACTATAACGTATTGTACTAGTACCATTCATAGACACGAAATACTCAAAATTTAAATAATGTAAACATATGTCAAACAAGGCAGCTTATGAAGTAGGTGCAGTACACCCGTTATCCCTTAATTGTTGTGCACTATTATGAAAAGCTTTTAGGACATTTCATAATTTAATTTAAAATAAAAATTGTACATTTAATTTTAGATATTTTAAAATATATATAAAATAATAAGAGCAAATAATTGACTCACATGACAATCCTCACAACAAATACAACCCGACGATGTAAACAATAGTAAACAACAAACATGGCGGGACTGGAGGCGAGTAAAGGGGGTTTCACAAATCTTAAAATTGAAGTCCCTAATGATCTCCAAGTCGAAGAGGGTGAGTTGTCAGATGAAGCAGGAGACACGCGAATGGAAGAGGATGAATTAGAGGAAGGAGAAGCGTCTGAGGACGAAGTTGAAGTGAATGTAATTATCGGGGAAGATGACGCCGGCAGGCAAGGTCGAGCTGCTAAGGAATCGGTAAGTAGTATTTGACTTCGTATTATCTTAATACTTTCATCGAGAGGTAAAATAAGTAGCTACAACTCTTGGAATATTCTTGGTAGAAATTAGGATAATATACGAGAAAACCGTCACCACCACCAGGAGTTGTTCAAGTATGTTCATATTTTCCACAGATATTATTGGTCTTTTTATATTAGTGCACCATTCTATCTAACCTAACCTAATCACTGGACCCCGTCGATAAGAGTAGGCTAGTTTAGGTTTGGTTGGTTTTTGGTGATTATCTAAGGCTTTTTACACATATTTCTTATACCCAAAGAAAGAACGGTGCACTACTATACTGTATTAAGTATTTTAAAAGACGAAAATTTTCTGTTTTAAGTATTTTTTATTTATATTTCTTTACAATTATAAATCACCTGTAGTGCACGGGGCATAAAGGATGAGGAAAATTGTGTGGTAAAATAGGGTGAAAAACTGAATATATGACACTAAAATGATGTCTGTGCATGCTTTGTATGTGAAGAAAATAATTATTTACCATAAATACTCCTCCAAAAAATCTGCCATTGTTGGCAGTGTCATTATCTGCACTGTTTGCTAACAACTGACCCGCTCTGTCGGAGCATACTCTCGTGTCCACAAAAAATATAAAATTACACCATGATGCTACAGCAAAGTTACTTTAGTTGGTACCAGATATCAAAATAGTACTTTCTGTTTAATATGGTGGGGACGGCTAGGATGTTTGGTAGGGTTAGGTAGGTTTCTTTAGTTGGTAAGGTCAGGTTCTATTAGGTTATAGTAAATGTCGCCTCTTTTAAAGTACAAATACTTACTAAATTGATAAGAACATATGTGGAAAATTTAATGAAATCGAACAACTCCTTCTGGTGGTAGCGGTGTTCTCATATATTACCGAAATTACTTACTGTTCACTGTTATTTGTAGTACTGTATACCAGTACTTGAACACTCTTAAGAACTTACTGTGTAAACCTGTATGGTGATTTTATTGAATCATTATCTATCTTTGTGTCCATCTTTATTACCCTTGAATTGCACCACTTTTGATGTTATAGCTAATTTTGATGTTCTGTATTTCGTGATTCCCCCTGATTTTACTGGTATGCTCTTTCCACCTTCAGTGATAAGAAGAAATACTGGACCAACAGTCCTGTATTAGTGGTAGATGACACACACCACCCTAACCTTACCAAATGTAACTTAAAATATGTGGTCATAGTTTAAGAGAAGGGTCTGAGCTTATTAATGAAATTTTCTAATGAAACTTTGCCAGAATCCTCTTGCTATAGTTTATATTGAAAACAAAGATAACACAGGATAAATTAATTTTAGTTATAATATAAAAGTAAACTTGCTAGTGGGCAGCATTGCAGATGGGTAAATTTGGGGTTAAGAAAATTTTGTAAGGTAATTTTGAACAGATCTTTAATGGGCATAAAATTATGTTGGAAGGAAACAATACTGTACCTCTGACTCTGAGATGCCCATTAAATACAAGTTTACCACTTGTAAATAAACTTTCCAAACAGAATTTCTAAATCTTAACCATATTTGATCTTCCGAAAAAAGACAAAGTTTTATACACTTAACCCCTTCACTAATGGGATGCTACTTCAATATTTTATTTGGCCAATGCCAGATAATTTTATTCAGCTCAGAAGCTAAAAGATGTGAGCTAAATTACAGTTACAGTACACTGTACTTAGGTCATAGGGGTGACTAACCATGCGTGTTGTGTTTGTAGATTGAATAAATGCTAAAACTTACAGTTTGTAGAATATAATTGGAATTAGGCAGTCTACTGCATGCTGTTATTGGCACTGTGATTTTTTTTTTAAGTGCTAAAAAATATACGATACTGTACTGTAATGTAGTACTATTTATTATGTTTGGTAACATGCATGATATTGCCCAGTTTAACCTCGATTGTGACAGAATCACCATTCCATCATTACCGAGCATTGCGATTTTTTTTTTTTTACAATACCCTTGCTTTATGTCTTGCCACAAAAAAAATTGTCAGAATTTAGCAAGAATTACTTCAGTGAAGCTTGGACTTACATTTGTAGTGAGGGCCTACTTTACTGATCAGAAATTAGCAACCATATATGTAAGCCAGTTGCACTTCCAGATGGAATAGTTCTGTTATCTGTAAGCTAGATGTGGTGATGCTAGGGTCCTCATAGCAGTGCAAAAAGAAAGTTATCAAAACAATTAACAATAATGACCTTGTCAGAAAATTTCCATCTCGGCACAGTCTTAGGAATATCTCATTGGTTTCCCTATTTTATAGATACTTTCTCAGTCTTTGTTCTGAATAATGTAAGTAAGAATATTTGTCTGTGTACTGTACTGTATAGGTGTACCTTATGTGTGTTTGAGAGTGTGTGTGCATAAGAGTGCATGTGCTTCTGTGTGCATAGGAATATGTGTAAGAGTTTCTGCTTGTGCTTTTTATGTGTACTGTATACAGTACATTACCCTGTTCTGTAAATTATACTGTAGCTTTAGCATTTTTATTCTGAAGTGTTATTGTTGATAAATATGTAATTCATTAACCCTTAAAGCCTGGGTGACGTTCCTCTACATTCACAAAGGTGACTTGAGGTGACGTTCCTTAACATTCTTAATTTTTGCAGCATATTTTCAATGTTCAGGCGGGATGAAATATTTTGTATTGGATATTTGTTTAATTGACAACTTAACTTTGACACAAAACTCATGCCTCGTGATCAGTTACCCGCCACCTATTGTGGTGGATGCACGTTCTTCTACCTCTGTTCAGTATTTTATAATTCTTATGAGGAAAATAAAAATATTTTGTGTTTTGTAGTAGCTACAAGGTAGAAAAATAATATAAAAGTGCCTTCAATTGAGAACGGACGAGTTGTCGGATGGAATTTTTTTGTAAGATGGCAGGTCAATGGGTAAAGAAAACACTTAAATTAACTATGTTAATAGTATTCTTAAATAAATTGGGCCTAAAAGTGTAAAAAATAGGGGTTAAAATTGCTAAAAAGTTACATGACTGCAAAAAGTTCTGTGATTGGTTGTGACGTCACTGATTGGGGTGAGCTTCCCAGCAGGAGGCACCAGATGTAGTTGTCCAACTTTCTCAGCTGATCGGCTCTGTAAATAAATATTATTAGATAATTAATTGTGCTTTACTGTGCAACACAGTAAGGCTACTGTATTTAATATACAGTGGTCCCTCGGTTAACGAACACAATTCGTTCCAGAAGGCAGTTCGTTAACCGAAACCATTGTTTCAATAGGATTTTGGGTAATTGGTTCCAGCTCACCGAAAATTACATAAAGTAAAAAAATAATGCAGTAAAGTACACTTACTTTGAGGTGTGTATGTAGAAGGCTCCTGGTTGATGATGCTGATGTGAATTTGAAGTGGGAGGTGGAGGAGGAGAAGGGAGAAGAGAAGAAAGTGGGGGTGGAGGAGAAGCAATTTACTACTTCTTGGAAGGCAAGTCACCTTCCACAAAAATGTCAGGAACCTCTGGACTGACAGATTCTGTAGCAGGAAAATCCTCTCTCCTTTTTGAAGTGGAAGGCTAAGGGCTAGCATCTTTTTCCCGCTGCCTTTTAGTGAAGAAACTGTCAATTTTGGTTTGTGGGTCATTTCTCCTCATCATTAACTGATTTCTGAAGAAGGAGAGCACTTTGTCCTCAACACTACACAAAACAGGTTTTGTTGTTTCCACATCAGGGTGCCTTGATGCCAGTTTCCTGAACATCTCCCAGTGGTAAACAACATCCTTCAAATCTGAAGAAGACATATTATGGTCATCACTTTCCCTTTCCTCCTCACCACTGTCAGCTTCTAACATCTCATCCAGTTGCTGCAAGTCTTCAGTAGTAAGTCCCAGCTCGAGACATCATAAGCTCTTCCACATCATCCTCCTCCACTTTGAGGCCCATTGACTGACCAATGGACACAATCTCCTGGTCCAACTCTGTTTCTTCCTCAAATCCCTCAAAATCATGAACTGCTGATGGCCACAGTGCTTTCCATGCAGAATTGAGGGATCTAATGGAGACTTCTCACCATGAGGACACAATCAATTTTACAGCCTCCAGGATGTTGAATTGTGTCTTCCAGAACTGTGCCAGTGTTAGTTCAGGATCAGTGGAAGTTGCCTGATAACACCTCCTGAACATTTTCTTCATGTACAGCTTCTTGAAGTTGCTGATCACATTCTGGTCCATTGGCTGCATAATTGATGTAGTGTTGGGAGGCAAAAACAACACTTTGACAAAGTCAAATCAAGCCTCCAAAGTGGTGGCAAGTTGATGGTCATGACCAGGGGCATTATCCATAAGGAGAAGAGCCTTTAAAGGGAGTTTATTGGTGGTTAGGTAGCTCTTCACAGAAGGGCAAAACACCTCAACAGCCCATTCATTAAAGAGCTGTTTTGTCACCCATGCCTTACGGTTGGACTTCCAATAAACTCCATATTGCCCTCTTACCACCTTTTGTTGCTTGAACACCCTGGGGTTCTCAGTGGTAGACAAGCATAGGCTTCAGTCAGAAATCCCCTGAAGCATTGGCACCAAGCAATTGGGTGAGTCGGTCCTTTGTGGGTTTATGCCCAGGTAAAGAGGCTTCATCTCTGGTGATGAATGTCCTTTTGGGCATTTTCTTCCAGAACAGCCCAGTTTCGTCCACATTGAACACTTGCTGTGGAATTTAATTTTCTTCATCCACCAGTTTCTTAAACTCCACTACAAACTTTGCTGCTCCTTCCTTATCTGCACTGGTAGCTTCACCATGCCTAACAACACTAAAAATGTCACTTCTTTTCTTAAATTTTTCAAACCAGCCCTTGCTTGCCCGAAAATCTTCGAACTCTGCCAGAAGAACCAGGTTGATCTTCCTTTAAATGTTCGTAAACCTCCCTGGCTCTTTCACAAATAAATTCTGTAGAAACTTAATCACCTTTCATTTGTTTTTCCCTTATCCAAATGAGAAGTAACCTCTCTGTTTCAGCTTTAAACAGTCTGGTAGATTTGTCTCTCATTTATACTTCCTTGATCTTGTCTTTCTGTGCAAGAATTGTCGACACAGTTGATGCCGACATGCCATATTCCTTACTAAGCACATTTGTTCTAATACCTTCTTCATGTTTCTTAATAATTTCCTGTTTCACTTGGCTCATTCTTATTTGACCTAACTTTTCTGTATGGTATATTTTGTTCCTGTGCTTTAAGTAGTATACTAGTGAATTTAGTACAGTCATGATCAATTGTTGTGTCGCCGGTAACCTCACCCGTTCCTACCGGAGACTGACCTGACCGTTCCCAGGTGACCTCACCTAGGTACCTTCTTAACCCCTCATAATCCGCCGATCGAAAGTCTGGAACTCTGACCATAATGTCATTATTGTTTGTTTCCCAATTTAGGGTAAACCTGATTTATCTGTGATCACTGTTCCCTAGTTCTTCCCTATTATGATATCTCTTATAATATTTTCTTTATTTGTTAATACTAGGTCTAATATATTGTCACCTCTAGCAGGTTCTGTAATTAGTTATTTTAAAAAATTGTCCTGTACTTCGAAGTCTTCAGTATTCATAGTCACCTATAATGTTGTCCCAGTCAATATTTCTGAAATTGAAATCCCCCATAATGCACAGGTTGTTGTATCTTGCTGCCCTACTTATTTCCTGCCATATGGGCTGAGCTGCTTCTTTCCCAAGACTTGGGGGCCTGTAAATTACTCCTATACTATAATTAGTTTTTCTCTTCCTTCTGCAATGTCTACCTATACAGACTTGGTTCCTATTTCACCCTTTATTGAATTATTAGTATAACATTTTAGTGTATCCTTTATGTAGAGTGCGACCCCTCCCCCTTCCTACCTTCCCTGTCCTTGTGAAAAAGGTTGTACCCTTTTATGTGGTTCTCTGATAAAAAGTTCCTGCTCGCCAGATTCATCCAAGTTTCGGTGATTGCTATGATGTCTACATTCGCGGTACATACAACCGCTCTCAGCAAGTCTATTTTATATCTAACGCTCCTACTGTTTGTATAGTATACATTTAAACCTACCCTTCCCTGGTCCTGTTTTACCCCTTGTCCTGAGTAAACAAATTTTACTCCCCGGGGCCTGCTTGTTTTTTGACTCCCATTATATGGAGGTTTCACTATTCTGTACAGTACAGGTATTAGTGTTTGTACAGTCCCCTTCACTAGTGCATTTATAGGGGTTCGTCAGATTTTGTGCAGTGTAGCAGCGCTGTCTTTGTTTACATTCAACAGAAGGAAACTCGCAAAAGTAAACATATTATGGAATCACATTTAAACAATATAAAAACAAATATCTCAAAGATAATGATTTGTGGAATGTTTATATGACGAGCCTCTGTAAACGCACTAGTGAAGAGAACTGTACATCTAAATCTATCCTACTTCATTTATATGGGTGCTTTTGTTAGATATTTCTCTTTTTTTCTACTTTTGGGAGTACTATTTAGTATACTACAGGGTACTCTTAGTTTATTCTTTTTTGAATCTCATCTTTTAGTTCCAGCTCCAGTATGATGATGATGATGGTTTGAAACGGGTACGCAGATTGGGTGTCACAGACCCTCCAAACCTTCACTTTCTTGGCCATGATGTTAGTACATGTTTTTCATGAATAATTTTTTTATGTATTTGCATTACCTATAACTACGCTTGTTATTTTTACTGTACTGTATATACAGGATTTCAAAATGAAATCATGATCGTCCTGTATACAAGTTTAACATATGTGAAGTTTATTTTATAAGCTACAAGTATGAATGTAGAATGACAATGCTTGGCTGTAGTATTGCCTTACTTTTATTGCTGCACCCTCTTGTTCTTATGTTTTATATCTTTTGTCATCCTTCCTAAATATTTGTGACAATATTTAATACTTTATTTTGGCATAGGATCGGAAAATTATGTGAATAATATTTTTTATGGATGACAGAGATATACAATATCTGTATGCTTTTGTGTGTATGTGAACTCACACACACACACACACACATGTAGGGAAATGCATACAAATATGCTTTATTGTAAACTAACATACAAAACTGCAAAAACAAAAATACTGCACTCCTATGCTTGTATACTGTACACACATGTACAAATACACTCTTGCAGAAACATATACAGTACAGTGTTGTACAGTTTAGCCTTGTCGAATTCATGGGTTGTTCCTGAATATGTTGCATATAGCAAAATCACTTTTGGCAAATTTAATATCATATGGGGAAAAATAGTTAAGAGAAAAATGCTCATAGATTCAGCACACCGTATTCTAAGACTGCATAATTTTTTTTATTGTTGATAAGGAATCAAATGAAAACAAAAGCATGATGAATAAAACAGTTCTAATTATAAATTATAATGTTCAAATGCAATATTTTTAGGTGCCATTGTACTTAAAGGGTGTAATGGTCAGCATGCTCGCCTCACAAGCGAGTGGTCCTGAGTTCGATTCCTGGGCAGGGTGAAACTATGGAAAAGTTTCTTTATGCTTCCGGTATTTGCCTGTATCACTCAGCTGGCTTCACTTTACCCCCAGTACATCCATGAAACGGAAGGGAGTGAGCCACTCAGACCTTGTACAGTTGAGAGAAGCTTTAGCTTCCCGTTAGTAAAAGGTTTTCACTAAGCTGCTTGAAGATATGTGGTATTGTGAGCCGAGGTAGAGGAGAGTTGATGACCCCAAACGATCGTCACGTCGTTAGTTGGGCACCTAGACAGCTGGGTTCACTCCAACTCTCACCATACTCAACAGGTGGCTCAAACCCAGGTCAGTGGACGGTCATACAGCTCGCTTCACCACTCGTGTCTCATACCGCCAGTGGACGTTATCATACCGCGTGGGGTCTACAGAACCCTGAAAAACCCGGGCTGTTAGCTATTGTCTCACATCACCGTTTGTTCCTACCGCCCTATCAAGCTTTGTCTGAGATTGAATAAAACTTACTTGTTAATACTGATGTTAAATAAACGAAGGAACCAGGTCACGCGATCCGTCTCTCCTGGGTACAGCACAGAGGTGGTCCTTGACCTCTCTCACAGCTCCCCAGCCACGCTTGCTCACTGGTTCACGCTTTCCAGGAGTGACTTATTTACCAGACGATTAACAGCTTAATTAGGACGTACGCAACATTTTCAGACTGGGAAACGATCTATAATTATTTTCAATTTAATAACTGATATTTAATTTCATGATTCGCGTCCCTATTAACTCGGTAAATTACATTTAATATCGTATAGGCCTAGTTCCACAACCTCTCGCTACGTGAGGAGCGCGGTCTTCCCTCAGACGACCTTGAACTCAGCATCGCCAATGGCGCGGCGTTTGAAATTACACTGAAATTTCTGAATATTACATATATATATATATAAATATGTATGATATATGATATGAATGATATATATCGATATATATATATATATATATATATATATATATATATATATATATATATATATATATATATATATATATATATATATATATATATATATATATATATATATATATATATACAGTATATATATATATAAATATATGCTCACCTGGTCACAAAACACTCACACATAAGATGAATGTACACACACCAAAAACTTCTCAAATGCTGTAAGCGCTGTACAATCTGAAAAATGAGTGAAGAATCTGAAACCATTCCAAGATGACAAGCCCTCTTCTGCTCATTCTCACATCCATCGTGCCCAGGTGTTCGAGAAATTTTTGTTTAGAGTGTACAGTATGTTTATTGTTGGTTGATAAGTCATACTGTGATATTCAGTACAGTATACACATGTCCAGGGATTGATTTAGGATGCATTTGTGCAGGATTCCCTCAATTGTTAATGATAGTATGTACCACATGTTCACTCACTGCACATGGTCGTGGGGCACTTCATACGTCAATCAAGAAGTCAGTAATAAAAACACTCCATTCGTTGATCAATAATTTTGTTTGTCTTAAATTTGTACTGTATATATTTCTACTGTTTTGGTGAAAAATCTTATGCATTTTTAATTCACATGTGCTCTTTTTCTCTTCTTGATTTAATGCAAGATTGACCTCTGTACTGTATTTGTTAATAAGTTGTAGTTCATGCAATTTTGTGATATAGTAGTTAATACGGTATTGTCTTTTATTGTTAAGTAACATAAGTAGCTACTATTTGGTGCTAAAGGAATAACATGTTGAAAATTTGAAACGTGTTTGCATCTTTTTTTTTTGTTTCCTGGAGTCTTTTTATGATACTTAATTGCATTTATCCTGTTTTCTAAATATTGTGGTTCATAGTAACTTTCCTAAAGCATCTATTATTGCTACTCTATCAGTAGCACTTCACTAATTATGTTGAATATGTTAGCTTTAGAATATCATGGTGGAAGAAGTCATCCAAAGTCACTTGTTTCTCTGTCTTTGCTCTGGTCACACTTCCCATGTAACATTATGACTCCTGCCGTTGAATAAATGAACTTTATAAATTTATGATCAGTGTTCAAGAACCCCAAAATGTAGGCCAGTTGAGATACTGTATTTCTTAAGCATTGTTATACAATTTGCTTTAGTCAGCTCTAAAAGGTACATAAATACTGTATGATCTCCAAGCCACAAGGTTAAGTTCTTTAGAGACCTGAATCAGAATATAACATTTGCTTTTAATCTTACATCTGGATCTAGCACCTGTATATTTAACATGTCTTTGGGATAAAAACCCAGGCTCCAGGGATCCAGCTTGTGACTAGGATCTAAAAATTCAACATACAGTACAGTATAAAATAAAATTACTGTCAACCCTTGCACTTCCAGACAATGGGGGTCAGATGTGGCAAATGTTGGATGAACCGAGTGATGAAGGAGCGTTAATGATAATCATAATATTGTACATGGGCTGTATTGATAATAATAATGATAAAGTACAGCATGCCCTTAACCCCTGGGCTAGGGTGCCGCTGGCCTTATGCCCCCCTTACAGACTTCCTCAGTAACCGACGCCAAGCTGTACGCTTCCGAGGGGCTGTCTCCACCTTTCAGTCACTCACCTGTGGCGTCCCCCAACGCACCAAGATGGGACTACTCTGCTTCCTTATGCTTATCAATGATGCCCTAAGAGAAATCCCTGCTCACTGGAAATATGTCGACTACTCCACCATTGGGATCAGCGTCAACAATTCTGCTCCCAACTATACCGCTCTTCAGAATTTATTGAACAGTCTCCAAAACTGGGCCACCACAAATCACGTCTCCATCAATCATACCAAGGCCATGGTTATGCACATCAACCTTTCCTCCGACATTGTTCCACCCCCTTCCATTACTTTAGGTCCCAACACACACACCTGGTTGTAGATTCCACTAAGCTCCTCAGCATCACCATAGACAACAAACTAAATTGGAAACCACAAGTCAGTGAAGTTGTCAAATCCTCCAGTTTCTGTCTCAACCTCCTCTGCCGACTCAAATCCCTCAGAGTTCCTGCGCCCGAGCTCCTCAGTGTTTACTCAACATTCATACTTCCCAAGCTCACCTATGCCTCTCCTACCTGGTCTTCCTCCCTAAATGCCACACAACATAAACGTCTAGAAAAAGTGCAAAAGAGGGCATGCAAGATTATTCTCTCCCTTTCCCACTCCACATATCAAGAAGCGCTCAACACACTGACCCTTTCGACTCTCACTGACCATCACCATGACCTCATCTGCAAATTTGGTGAGAAGCTTCTGCACCATCCTCGACACCGGCTCCTACTCCCACCTGAGATCCCTCGCCCAAGAATTGCTGTTTGATACCACAACCGCAACCAGCCCATACGAGCACAAACTGATCGCTATAAGAACAGCCCAGTCCCAACCATTGTAAAAATTATCAATAACTTGTAATCAACCAGTGAATTCACTCCCAGTCAATCTTACTTTTTGCACTGTCACTATGTTGAAATACCCTGTTGTTTGAGCTTCTCCCCACCTATTTATTACAGTATTTATCATATTTGTATCACTTATGTTACTTGTATATTATTTGTAAATCAGGAGACCAATTCCCCAATTATATAAATGTATATTTTCAGCCTTCCCGCTGCCATACTCTTTCAATAAACCGTTAATTATTATTATTTATTATTATTATTAAATAAAAAAATCAACTTTTCCAAAAATAATTTTTAACCATTTTAAATGATAAAATAATAAAAAAGAAGTAAGAAAAACTATATATTGACCCTCTAGAAACTTCCCTGGAGGCCGCAGTGACTAGGTAGATAAGGGGACAGTGTTGTTTTGACGGAGCGCTCGTGGTCACTACGCACTTAGCGGCCATTTTCTGCTTGCCTTTGTGTCCGGGATGGCCAGTAATGCATATATTTACTGATCATAATATTCTTTTCCTATAAATAATTCATTTAGAATTTATTTTATTTGCATTATTTTTCATTAAAAGTGCTCGGCGACACACACACACACAGTCTGTCACCAGGTTGAGGGACGACTCTCCATGGCGACAGGCTAATGAGTACTAACTGCACTAAGCCCACCCACGCTACCCTGCATATGGCGTGACCACCAAATAGTCATGCTGGGACCTAATAACCCGCACTGGGCATTCAAACAAT